TCCTGCTCTGCGTGTGTCTGTATGGAACATAGTCACACTAGTTAATCTTTTAAGTCCAAAGTGCAAAGACACTGTCTATGTAGCAGTCAGTCCGGAAATAACAGTGATATACAAACATATGAGCTGCTGCAAAAAGAGGGAAACAGGTGAGGATATATTCACCCCAGAAGGGTTAAGAGAGGCTCAAGAGTCAGGCTGCAGTGTTTTATTTTATCCTCATAATTTCAGTCCCTGATCCGGAACTTTCCGCTGTCATCACGGTGCATTATGGGTAGGTAACTGTTCCAGAGCTTTGTGGGAGTGGTAGCCGTCCTGTCATGCCGATATATTTACCGTACGCAAAGGGCGCCCTCTCATGGCCGCTGGCAGCCTGTCGGGGCCCCAGGTCGCAGCCGTTGTCGAGCAGGTGAGCAGCAGAACCCCCCCCCCAGGCCAGATTGTGCCCTTTTCTCACAAGACGTGCGTCATTCCTGTGAAGTACGAGTGATGTGTGGACACTGACTGCCTTTCAGCACTTAGCATGGAGACGCTGGGATGGGCAGCTGTACTCCACGCTGCTGATGGCATGACGTCAGCATCCATAAGCCTAATTAACGCTCATTAATATAGTCTTGCGTCCCTGAGGTGGGGGGTGGGGGGGTATATTGGCTTCTCACCACTGTGGCTATGTGCGTCTGCCATGTTGGATGGATGGATGGATGGATGGATGTACTCCATCGACCCCTGGGACCCTGCACTCTTACACTGCCACTCTGCTTTCCTCATTGGTAGATGATCTGGTTACTCTGAAGGTTGACACCTCTCCCCTCCATTATGGCTTGATATAATTGTTTATTGCTAATTAGCCTCGGGGCTTTCTGTGAGCCAGCGTACAGCAGCGACACACTCAGCAGAAGGCCTTTTAAAGCAGGAGCCCCTTTACGGTGCTTTTCCACTGTCACCGGGAACCGAGCTGTACCTGACCCACACTGCACACTGTAAAGCATGTGAGCTGCACCCACCTGTACCCGTGCTGACACAGCCCTGCTTAATAGCAGAGCCTAAAGCGTGACAAAACCAAGCTGGTTGCGTCGCCCCCATCTGATTGGTCGAAATGCACCAGTGATCTGCTTCGATTAAGGTTGCCAAGGTGCAGAAAATTTCCAGAAACTTTCCATTCTGGGGAATTTTGGATATATTGCATGCCTGTGACCCACACTGACCGTTGTTGATGACGTATGTACATTAGCAGATAAACATCAGCACGCGCCCCAAGCGCAGTACACAAATGGGTAAATAGACAAACAGACGTAGCGAGGCATTTTGGTGTCTAATGTTGAATGTTTATCGTTTGTCCAACAGTATCAATATGGATGGAAATGTGAAATTTGAGAACCTTTTAGTCGGCATTTTAGCCACAAATAGCAGAACAGCGCTTTAGCACGTGGGTGAGTTCATCAATAATACAACAGAATATGACTTATAAGCAGTGCGTTTTGATCTAGATGCTTATTTTGGGGTTTATATTATGCACATAGTTACTCACAAGCGCTTGGTTACACAATAATATCACGATTAGCGCCGTCAAGTTCGGCGTCTTGTGATTCTAACGGTGCGTGTATGATTTCTGTGTGTCGAAGGCTTTGTGAGTTTTGATTTAGTATTTGCTAGATAAATTTAATACTATAGATCAAATATGTTTAACCTAGTAACATCATCAAAACTTATTTGACAGGATGTAATCCTGGGCTCAAATGCAGTACTGTGGCTTCAGTTGTCCGGCTATAGTGAGCAGGATTCTAGAAATTATCTGTGCATGTGATGGAGGAATGTACAGTGCAGGGTAGAAATTCAGCTGGATTTGCATTAGATCTGGACCTAACCTGCAGTTTTGCAAATTTCCAATTTATTCCCATAAATTCATGTTCATTCCCATGGAAAGTTTCCAATTTTGAAAATTCCCAGAACTTCGCAACCCTAGCATCGATATGCACAGATTATGTGAAGGGAAAGCGACATTATTCATTATTAGTAGTATCGCACATCATGATATATTTATGCATCTCCGATAACTCGGAACTCAGGAATTTCCAGTCTCCTATTTTAAAAAGTACTATTGAAAGGTCGAATGGAATGGATTCATAATGAAAATTTTCACAAGACAATGTTGATTCCGCTACCGTTCGCTGTTAACATAGCACACCGATTCTCACAGATGTGCTAACAGAAATTAGAAAATGATAAATCATAACATACACCGTGTGAACAGTAAACAAGCGTCTCTTTGGCCGTCCATCACTGTCGCTCCCCAAACTCGGCGGCACCTTTACTGAGCCGATCTTTCTGCAGTTGGAAAAACCAAAGTGAGCTGCACTGTAACTAGTCTATCTTTGCTTACTGATAGAGAAAGGCCTGGTTCCTTTATGCCAGTGGAAAAGCGCCGTTCGATAAACTAGCAAGATGCCTCCACTTGCTCTGGTCAGGGTTGCTGAGGGGTCCTGCAGCCTATCTCAGGCAGCATGGGCTGGGGACACCCTGGCCAGGAAGCTAGTCCATTATTGCGGAGTTTAGAGTCAACAGTTAGCCTGACTGCGTGTCTTTGGACTTAGACTGTGGGTGGAATCCCACGCAACACGGGGGAGCATGCAGCAGACGTAGAGCAGAGGGGTATTCACACCCCAAACCCTGGTAGTGTGAGGCAGCAGCTTCCCGAGGCTCACAAAATCCATCCGTCTCCTATCTGCCGTTCTCTCCACTGTCCTGACACCTCCTCACCTATGGTGGCGCTGATGCTTCCTCTGTCTGACCAGCTTCTGTCCTCTCACTCACCCTTGGTGGTTAAAAACTAATGCATCCTTTCAGGGCTAATTCACCTACGTCAGTAGTAGCTACAGAATGTGTCCAAGAGCTCTGACCTGAAGGCGGGACTCGATACTGCCCCCTTCTGGCGTGCACCTGCTGGGCGGCAGTAGTCAGTGTGAGGATGACCGTGCCCAGAAGCTGATTAACACTGAGGGGCTGAGAAGCTAGTGGCTCACATGGCTCCGTCAGCTAGGTTTCCTCCCAGCTCAGCCAAAGGAACGCTGTGATTGTTTGCTTTTCTCACTGCTTTCTGATTGACAGATTTCATTGCATTTGTGTTCCTTTCTCACGGTCACCTGCTAGTCTGTTTTGTCTTCTTAGAACAGTTTGCTAGTCTTTGTTTGCAGTTACCTGAGTTTCGTCAGAAGTGGAGCGATTGCGTAAGGCGGCTCTGGAGAGGGTGTGGCCTTACAGGGAAGAGGGTGTGGCCTTACAGGGAAGTGCCTGACGTGGCGTTGAGGAGAGTAGAGGTGATTCAGTGCCAGGCGTTTGGCCCAAGAGGTCTTTTGTAAATATACTCTGTATTAGTCAAAGAGAAGCTGTGATGGATTCCCGGCTTCATAGCGTACGTGACTTACCTTTGCATACCAGCAAGGATTCCAGGGAGCCTGAATCCTAGAACAGTAAAGGTGACATTCTTTAATGTGAGTATTAAATCTTCTATCAAGGCTATGGGTGGCGGGGAAATTACAGACCGCAGAGCTCAGAAATGCCGTCTTATCATGAAACAAAGAGGCCGTTCTCAGCTTGTAACTCATGGTTCTGGGTAAATGGCACATTACCTAATGATTATCGAATTTAAAAGGACTCTCTAAATGGGACTGCCCTGCAGCGCTTGGAGGGAGTTGAAGTGTCTTTTGAAGAATGAAGGTTGTTTTTTTTATTCTCTTGTTGTTGCTTTTTTGTGCTGGAATAGGATTGAATTTCTCAATCATGTTTTATCCCTTCCGGGATGGATAAGCAGACATTAACCTAGCAGAGCTTTCTAGAACAGCTGGCGTGGGGCTGCTCCGTCTCCCAAAGGGGAGTCGGCTCCATGCTGGGGGGAAGCTTGCATGAAAGTGCTGTGAGAAACTCCTGGTTTGGGTACCTGCTCTCTTTTGTAATTCTTACTCCAGCCACCGTGGGGAGCCGGTGAAGTGTTTCTTCCTTCAGGGTGGGCGAATATAAAAGAGGAAGAGAGAGTAAAGCCTAATTGCTGGCGGGGGAGTGAGAGGGATACTTTCTCCATACAGAATGTAATTAGAGGAGGGCTCAGGAAGAAAAGGTTTTATGTTCGGACCCCTAAGCGTGACGTGAAAGAGGCTGGAACCGCTTTGTTTGGGAGTGACACGGAGAAGCGCTGGGTCTGGTTCACCTGCCCGGGCTTAGCGTGGGCATCCTGCTGGGCCGGCCGGCAGCCTCCCTGGCTGTGTGTGGTGGGCAGCACCTAGTCCAGGGTGCCCTGGGGACTAGCTGTCACGTCACGTGCACGTGGTGTTGGCCCCCAGAGCCTAGGGCTCGAGTCTGTCTGCTCATGCTGTTCCTGCCATGGTTCGTATCGCATCTTGTCCTATATTGTTCTACATTGTCAGGTCCACAGAAATGGTTCAGAAGCACCTTTTTAGCCAGTTAGCAATTAGCATACAGCCAGACCTGGCTCTGCCTTTTCAGGCCCAAGGCAAAGCTTTATTTGGGAGGCTCCCCTAAAAAGAAAATCAATGAGCGTTCCACTTCCCCAGCAGTGCAGGTCGTTTGGGGGCCTTAGGCAGCTGTCTGTTCTGCCTGTAGCTAGAGCCGACTTTGTTTCTACCTGCACTTAAACATTTTAATTTGAGGTATATGGATTTTTTTGGGGTGTGTGCCTTGGGTGTTCCCTGCTTTGTTCCGGCAGCTTCTGGGATAGGATCTGGTCCCTCGCGACCCTGCGTAGCGGAAGCGGGTATAGAAGATGGATGGGTGGGTGGGTTTTATTTATTTTTCTGTCTTTTTTATTTTTTCTGGTAATTATTATTATTTTAAATTACATGTATGGATATATATAATGTATATATTTTTCTAGTGCATTGTCTGGGTCCCCTTGTCCTGGGCTAATAGGGCTCTAGGTAGCTGCCTAGTTTGCCTGGATCTGCCTCTGCATACAGCTCACTGATCCCCCTCCTGTCCCCCCCCCCCACCAGGAAATAACTACAACATGGTAAATGGGGGCAATACGCCCAGCAGCTCCACCCACCTGCTGGACCTGCTGGACGAGCCAATCCCAGGTGTGGGCACCTACGACGACTTCCACACCATCGACTGGGTGCGCGAGAAGTGCAAGGACCGAGAGCGCCATCGCAAGGTACACTACCTGCGCGCACCTGGGGCCTCCCGCCAGCTGGGGCGCTGTGGCGGTACGCAGGGTCCATCTCGGCAGTCTCTGATGCTCTCCTGGTGTGAGCGACTCCTTCTGCTGAGCGTCTAGCACTATGAAGTTCAAATCAAACCACATCCGCAGGTTCTGTAGTTTACAACAGTGAGTAATAAAATCGTGACGGATTGTTGAGTGGAGTCCAGTCTGGGCTTCGATTCTGCCACTTATTGTTGAGTGGGCGCCCCCTGGAGGTGTTGTTACGCTACCTGATGACCCGCCAATCCCTCACTCAGCTCTAAGGTCTACTGCCCAGCACAGTTTTACTCGTAGACTATACTGAAGGTGGAGCTGAAAACCGAGCGTCTGTCTCCTCTGGAATCGTTGAATCAAAATCAGAACCATTTATTTGTCAGCTTTTACAAGGAGTATCACAATCAATGTAATAAAACTACATTAACAAATGAAACACGACAAAATACTGCAAACACAAGAGGCAGTAGTAGAGGGCGCCATCTTGGAATATAATGCCATTCACAGTATGAAATAATAGTTTCTGTTCTGTTGGGTGTTATTTCTGGAACTCTCCCGGACGTCCCCTAGACGGTGTTGGTGTGTCCTCTCCCTGTCACGGCTGCTTGGAGGAGCGGGTCCCCGCCCCTTTGCCCGCATCCCCCATCACGATCACCCACACGTGTGGCCGGCTCTGTATCTCCGCTGTCGGAATTTAATCGCAGTTAAATATTACTGGCAGGTATGAGGGGAAGAGAAATTATAAACTGAATATATAGCCCTTTGAAGATGCGTATGAATATGGTACAGACAGGGAAGCCCTACAGGAATGTGGTCAGGAATTCCATAGCGTGTGGGACGTGGTTCTGCTTCATAAGCATCCTGGAAACTGCGATGTGCTGTAACACACGTCTGGGCCCCAGCCTTGGGGGAGGCCTGTCACCAAGGCAACGGCTCTGTTCTGTGAGCCCCCGAAGATTAAAGGACGTTGCCTGAAACGGCTGCAGGTTATAGACTCCAGCTGGGTCCTTTATCTAGGGCCCTTGAGCTGGTTTCAGTGAAAAATACAGGCGTATACATAAGTTCACTATAAAACCGTGAATTGTTTGTAACGCAGTCAGTTACCTGGTGTAAGAGGGTAATTTTATTCACGTACCTTTAATACAAATCACCTTAAATCTAAGCTTTGGTCCTTAAAATTGAAGGTCAGAGTTTTGTTACAATAAATGACTAAATAAATGAAATAAGTGTCCGAGAAAATAAATAAAATCAGAAGAAACTACATTGACCATCGCCGTTGGATCTGAATTGTGATATTAATTCCACTCGCTTCTGAATCGAGGCTAATTGTGTGTGTTTGGGGCAAGGTGGCTGGGTGGGAGGATTTTACCGTTTTGAGAAAAATGTCACCATAAGATCTTCCGAGGAGTAGACTTAGAGTAACGATCCTTGCAAGGATGTGAAATGAAGTGGAGAAAAAACTCTGTGTCAAGCAGCCAGCACTCATTTTTTGAGTTTACGTTGGGTTGTGCTGGCAATTAAAAATTGAGAAACAAATTTCCCAGACAGTTTTCGAGATGAGATGAGCAGTGACCTAAAGTCAGGCTTCCTCATCATATGTTACAGTATCGGGAACCAGAACTCACTCAATCCTCATATAATCCAATAAAAAACTTTTATTTAATTTCCAAAACTCTAACTAAATCTTCAGTAATGCATCCCATGGACTGAGTGAATATTGGAAATCTGTTCTTCAGTTGCAGTGAATTGTGTGTGTGTGTGTGTGTGTGTGTGTCCTGAATTCTGTCCTCCGTCCTCAGATCAACAGCAAGAAGAAAGAGTCGGCGTGGGAGTTTGTCAAGAGCCTGTATGACGCCTGGTCGGGCTGGCTGGTGGTGACCCTGACCGGGCTGGCCGCTGGTAGGTCACTGACCTGACCCCGTCTCGATCACGGGGCTCTCCCTCAGCACGCAGCTCCTCTCCCCAGACCCTGTAATCTCAGCCTCACCACCCCGACATCACATACACGAGCCACGTATGGCGCCTCTGTAACGCTGAGCTGTTCCTGGCGCCCCGCCCCGTGCCGGTGGGCTGTAACCCGAGTCTGTATGAGCCCTGTCCTCGATTCCGGTCTGCCTGTGTACTACCTGTAAGCTCCTGTAGGGACCGGAGCAATCTTTACCGTCTTTATCTCGCAGCCTGCGTTTGCCGCGTAGGAGGATGCGATTTTGCTCGCTGTGCCGGTATGTGTGCAGTCTTGGCCGTCGGCTGTCTGAGCGGTTAGGGACCTTCTGGTTACTCGTCTCCCTCCCGCGCGATTCGCTGTTGTACCTTTGAGCTGGGTACATCATCCAGATCGCTAGCCCTGCTCTACAGCTGAAGCCGCTTTTAACCAGGGGAGGTACATGATGTCTGAAGCTCTCACCATCGTGCCCTCGATCCAGGCTCCCGTCAAGCTCTCTTGGTTGTAGCGCTTATACATAATTGACTGTAACAGGTGTATATTACTGAATAATTGAGTCACACACAGACAGCCGGAACGCCTCCTCCCTGCCCCCCCGCCTCCTTGGCCAGCCGCCCCATGTCATCCTGTACTTTTCCCGCCGCTCTCTTTTCACTAACTGCTCATCTGCTGTTAAGCCACAAGGTGGCGGTGTAACACAAGATTAAGGAATGATCCCTGGTCTTTGTCTGTCTGTCCGTCTCTTTCGCTTGTGTTTTTTCCTCTTGTAACACCGCAGACGGGTTGGCGGCTGTCTCCGAGAGGGAATTCTCTTCCAGAAATAAGTTGCTGTATGTTGCTTAAAATGATTGCTTGCTGTAGTTGCTTGGGGTAGATCTAATGTTCACCATTTCATGCTTTTTCAGTTCTGTTTTATCCCTCCTGTGGTCCTGATGCATTGAGTCTCAGCCCATAATTTGATAGACTGAGACGGGCGCTCCTCTCTTTGCCCCCCAGGTGCCTTGGCGGGCCTGATCGACATCGCGGCCGACTGGATGAACGACCTGAAAGAGGGCGTGTGCCTGAGCTCTCTGTGGTTCAACCATGAGCAGTGCTGCTGGGCCTCCAACGAGACCACGTTTGCCGAGCGGGACAAGTGCCCCCAGTGGAAAACCTGGGCCGAGCTGATCCTGGGTCAGGCTGAGGTGAGGGACCTGGTGACCTGTGCTGACGCCCTTTAGCCCGTTAGCGTGTACCATTTCTATACCATAAGTAATCAGATCAGGACTGATGGTGATACTGTGCTTTCTGCTGACCTGCCTGCTTTGGCCCAAAGGCCCTTGTGAGAGGAGCACTTCCTTGAGGGCTCTTTGTTCCCCGCAGGGCCCCGGATCCTACATCATGAACTACTTCATGTACACCTTCTGGGCCCTGACCTTCGCCTTTGTGGCGGTGTTGCTGGTCAAGGTGTTTGCCCCCTACGCTTGCGGCTCAGGGATTCCCGAGGTGGGTGGGGGCAGGAATGTCCCGAGGGCTGCTGGGGGTGGGTGGCAGGAGGGCACGTTCTCTATCAGTTTGAGAAACTGAGCTAGGAGTGATGGCCACCATCTGTTTATTGCTAATGATGGGAAAACCATGTCAAAGCTTCATCGCACAAAGTGAACTGTCTTAAGGGCTTGACTAAAATGTTGCCATGCAATGTCACAGTGTCCTTCTATGCTCTTAAATGCTGAGGCCTCTGCTCGAAAGACAACCAAAATTTATATAATCGAGTCAGATATGAAGGGGTCATGGATGGATGTGTAGATGGATGAGTCAGAAATATTGGTGCATTTGGCCAGTCTGCAGAGACATTGTGACCCTCACCTAGGCTATGGACTTTTCATATTATCATGACCAGACCTGGGCAAAAGCCAGGCCCACGGACCTATTCTTGCTGGACCATACGACTCAATAAGTTCATAAGTTTTATGTTCAAGTCACATGAATAATTGCAAATACAACTGTAACTATACCAGCATGCAAAAATGAGCCTTCTCAAAACATGAACGAGTCTGCTGTTGTAACTTTCATGGGACATGAAAATGCTCATTGAAAAGCGGCCCCAACTCACACGGTGAGGTTTGGATTTGGCCCCCCACAGGAAATATAATGCCATTCCGAGGCTTGATGTAGACTGTTGGGCTGCAGTATGGCTTCCCAGCACCAGTCCAGTCCAGTAGCACCATGGTAGTAGATCATAGTCCTAGCAGTAGCTCTGGGCTGGGGAGCCGCTGTCGAGGTTTCAGTTGTACTCTGTTGCCCCCCAGATCAAGACCATCCTGAGTGGCTTTATCATCCGCGGGTACCTGGGAAAGTGGACGCTGATGATCAAGACCATCACACTGGTGCTGGCTGTAGCCTCGGGGCTCAGCCTGGGCAAGGAGGGCCCACTAGTGCACGTGGCCTGCTGCTGCGGCAACATCTTCTCCTACCTGTTCCCCAAGTATAGCAAGAACGAGGCCAAGAAGAGAGAGGTGGGTGGGGCAGGTGAATAAGTGGGTGGGGTTTGTGGTCACATAGTGAGTGAAAATCTCAAAGGAAACTTGACTTATTAATGTTCTAATTTTCCCACGGCTGTCAGTCGAGGATTCCGCTAGGTTGACCTTGGGGAATGTTAGTGTCCTCACAGTGCAATGCTGGTCAGGATTAGCTGTTCACATTGTCTTGACTTGCTTGGTTTTACTGGTCGTACTTGTCATGTGGGTCACCTTCATCGTGCAAACACGATCCATCAGTAGGACCAATCAAAACTGACCTTTTAGGATGAACTGAAAACACAGGAATCTGTGAGCCTTTTCACAGGTCTGACCTCTGACCCCCAAACAGGTCTTGTCTGCGGCGTCAGCAGCCGGGGTATCTGTGGCTTTTGGTGCCCCCATAGGTGGTGTGCTCTTCAGCCTGGAGGAGGTCTGTGTTTTTTGCTATATGTGCGTTTGCGTTTTTGGGTGTGTCTCTTTCGAAGCTCCTGACCGGTCGCCCCCTCCACCCACAGGTCAGCTACTATTTCCCCCTGAAGACCCTTTGGCGATCCTTCTTCGCCGCCCTGGTAGCCGCCTTTGTGTTGCGTTCCATCAACCCATTTGGCAACAGCCGTCTGGTGCTGTTCTACGTGGAGTACCACACACCATGGTACCTCTTCGAGCTTGTGCCCTTCATCCTGCTGGGGGTCTTCGGCGGCCTCTGGGGGGCGCTCTTCATCCGCGCCAACATCGCCTGGTGCCGGCGCCGCAAGTCCACCTACCTGGGGAAGTACCCGGTCCTGGAGGTGATCACAGTGGCGGTGATTACGGCTCTGCTGGCCTACCCCAACCCGTACACACGGCAGAATACCAGCGAGCTGGTCAAGGAGCTCTTCACGGACTGCGGCCCGCTCGAGTCCTCGCAGCTCTGCCAGTACCGCAGCCAGGCCAACAGCAGCCGGCCGCTCCTCGAGGACTCCGCGCCCACCATGCCTGGTGTCTACTCCGCTATGTGGCAGCTCTGCCTGGCGCTTATCTTCAAGATCTTCATGACCATCTTCACCTTTGGCCTCAAGGTAATGGCCTGCTGGCTCGTCAGCATCCAGCTCCTGGCTCCGCTGCATGCATATGGGCCTCTCTTGGTGTTCTGATGTAACCCTCGTTCCCCCACCCTACAGGTGCCCTCGGGGCTCTTCATCCCTAGCATGGCAATTGGGGCAATTGCTGGGCGCATTGTGGGCATCACCATGGAGCAGTTGGCCTACAACCACCACGACTGGTGCGAGGTGGGGGCCGGCTGCATCACCCCGGGCCTCTATGCTATGGTTGGGGCTGCCGCCTGCCTGGGTGAGCCTCCCCCCATCCCTGTAGCGAATTAGCTAACGCTCCCTTCACTGAGCTCGTCATGTAGATTAAATTAGTTTAACATGTCATGTTTAACCTCGTTTAAGATGGTGAAGTACTTTTACTGGAGGTTCTCAGTCTCTACAAACACTCAGACACAGTGTGGACTTGTTCTCCATGCCACTCAGTGAAGTAGGGCGGACAGAGTTAGCATTAGCGTTTGGGTTAGCATTAGCGCTGGCATTGTGGGTAACGGCAAATCCTTCCTTAGGCGGCGTGACACGCATGACTGTGTCATTGGTGGTCATCATGTTTGAGCTGACGGGGGGCCTGGAGTACATCGTGCCCCTGATGGCTGCTGTGATGACTAGCAAGTGGGTGGGCGATGCCTTTGGCCGCGAGGGCATCTATGAGGCTCACATCCGGCTCAACGGCTACCCCTTCCTGGACGCCAAGGAAGAGTTCACGCACACCACACTGGCGTCCGATGTCATGCGCCCGCGGCAGGACAACCAGCCGCTGGCCGTGCTCACGCAGGACGATATGACCGTGAGAGATCTGCAGAACATCATTGTGGAGACCAGCTGCAACGGCTTCCCTGTCATAGTATCCAAGGAGTCACAACGGCTGGTGGGCTTTGCGCTGCGCAGGGACATCATCATCGCCATTGGTGAGGGGCCCCTCCTCATCCCTGTTCTCCCCTCCTCATCCCTGCTGTCCCGTCCTCTTCCCTGCTCTCCCCTCCTCATCCTGCGTCGTCTTCATCACCTTATTTATGTACAATGCAGCATTTACAGGAGATGATGGTTAACCCTGCCGTTTCTGCTCTCTAATCCAGTTTCCCATGAATCTTTTTGATGATGTCATCTAAATCAGTGTTTCTCAACCCTGTCACAGGGGACCCCCAGACAGTCCACACTTTTGCTCCCTCCCAACTACCAACACACCTGTACAAGGTGTTCGGTGTTTTTGATTGATTGGTCTGTGTGGACCATCTGGGGGGGGTACCGAGGACCAGGTTAAGAAACACTGATCTAAGTACTCAGGTGTGAAATGTCCAGCTACATTATCACTTACAGAAATAAAGGAGCAGTTATTTAGAGGTGTTTACCAGCGATTTCCCATCCGCTGGTACTAACGGCAATCTATTGTGTGCAGAGAATGCCCGGCGCAAGCAAGAGGGCATCATGTGGAACTCGCGGGTGTATTTCACCCAGCACACCCCCACCCTGCCAGCCGACAGCCCCCGGCCCCTCAAGTTGCGCAGCATACTGGACATGAGCCCCTTCACCGTCACGGACCACACGCCCATGGAGATCGTGGTGGATATCTTCCGCAAACTGGGCCTGCGCCAGTGCCTGGTCACGCACAACGGGTAAGCAGAGAGGGTGGCCAGGAGGGCGGCGCTCTTCCTTAATCCCCTCAGTTTGCTGCCCTCTCCAGTACCAGCATGCCACCGTGTTGTTGCTGTAACACGCATGGCTTTTGCTGCCGACTGGGACCTCAGGAATGCATAGGGGTGGGGTGGGGGGGGGGGCTTGCGGGGGGATCACGAGGGACTTCATGGTGAAGGAAGATGCTCCAGTGTTTTTAATAGGCCTAATACTAGTTAGTAATGAGCTGTATCAATAGCATTATTATTTGCGTGTATTNGAGGGACTTCATGGTGAAGGAAGATGCTCCAATAGTTTATATGTTTTTAATAGGCCTAATACTAGTTAGTAATGAGCTGTATCAATAGCATTATTGCTTGCGTGTATTTAACTGCAAATTCAGTAATTATTAAACAATCAGAAACTTGTAGCAGCTTTTCGGAAAGATCCAGAAAAGGCCCTGATTTCATGATGCAGACGCAGAACCCTGTGCCGTCTGCTCGAGACCTGTGTTTTCCTTTTTAAATGTGGATTTTCCCGTTTTTGGTTTTCTCCTAAAGCCCAAAGCCTCCTGCGATTGCCTGTGGGTCGTCATGGTTACCAGGAGGCAGTGAAGTGATAACATGCAGCTAAATCTTTAAATTAAAAGTTATGTATGTAATTTTTACACAGATATCATCTATACTAAATGGCAGCTTAGTCATGCAAAGTCCAGTGTCTAAAGATGCAATCTTTCTTAAAATGGAAGACAGACTTCCTCAGCCCTGCTACTCAGGAAGCAGTACCTGTGAAACCTTACTAAAATGCGACACCTTGTCTCAGGATTTCATAGTAAAAGTCACCAAAAGCAATACCTTGGCTGTGGCTTTCATAATAAAATTCACTAAAATGCAGCACCTCATCTGTGGCTTTCATAATAAAAGTCACTGAAACATGATACCTCATCTGTGGCTTTCATAATAAAAGTCACTGAAACATGACACCTTGTCTGTGGCATTCATAAGTTGTCACATAAATGGTGTATTACTGACTTTCCGTGAGCAGACTAAAGTGCCTTATTGATGAGCATCTGAAACATACAACACTTTTGTTCTCCATCTAAAAAGTAATGTGAGGAAGGCAATGGATGGTTTCACCCTCAGGCCTCCTGTTTTAGCTGAAATTGCTACACTAGGTCCATGGAGAGAAGCAGCTGGTCTCTTGCAGGTTTTTTCTGTTCTTTTACTGCCCCCTGTTGTTGAAAGCAGGCATTGCAGCATAGAGCTTCTGTGGTTGGGCATACATCATGGGCGTTTTTCTACCACACCAAGTACGGTACTTTTGGTATGGTACTTTCGCTTTTCCATTGACTTCCGTTTGAGTACCAGTACCAAAAGTTCCAATATCGAAATTGTTAATCCAGTGGGAGTACTTCTTTGGTACTTCAGTACTTTGGGTTGGGACTTGAAATGCTTTCTTTGTCGACTGGTAATACAAATAGCCTGCCTCTGAAACACAATACAAACACCAGCTTGAAAACAGCTGCGAACTCAGAAAATAATGACAAAGTAAAAAAAAATGTGATTTGGTCGTAAGAACATATACAGATACGAATGGTATGACAAGAAAGTTATTAGCTGTTGCTCAGTGTTGCCTAAAGAAAATTGAAGATTTTGCATTACAGTTCATATCACATTTCTTCATTTTCTCATTTTCATCCTGTGATTAATAGATAATATTGCAGTGGAGGATGAATGTTGTCATGTATTTTAAAAGCTAAAACTTAAACCCATCTTATACAATCCCCTCATGCTGTCTGTTCAGATCCTCATTCTACCATTTCTCTGATATAAAGTTAATTTAAATAGGAGTGTAGGGATATACTTTTTTCACTAATTAATTTTTAACATTTCATTTTATTTCAAAGGATGCATATGTTCTATAATTTGTCATTTCTGTTATAAGCTTATAATTTAAGATGTTGTGCTTCTATTTTTGTTTCTCTTTTGTTCGTTTCAAACACAGTCATTAGAGTAACAATGTGTTGCAGGAATTTGTTGGGAATCATCACTAAGAAGAACATATTAGAGCATCTGGAGGCGTCAAAGCGACACGTGGATCCCCGGGTGATTTGCCACAGCCCCTCTGCCTTTTAGGCCCCACCTGCACTCCATTTCAGGCGCCACCTCCACTTCCTCTCAGGCAGGAACCCATGAAACTTGTGTGAACACTTCTCTGAAATGTTACCAAAGCCTCAGGAGTAAACATATGACTCCGCCGCCCTCCCAGGCAGCGACTCGTGCTGCTCTTACTCTCCATGTGGTTTTAGTAATAGGCACTTCTGACACTCCGCATAGTGGTAGCGCACGTGTCACCAGGGACCATGCAGCTTGGCTTTCTGGGTAAACGAATGGCGAAACGGCACTGAAGCGGGAGCTGTCAGTCGACCCTCCTCCTAGGTGTTTGGGTGGAGCTGTGCTAGTCTGTGGATCCTCCATTCCTCACCGCTCCAGGATATCCCACAATGCACTTAGCCCCTCAGGTTCTGTGCTGATTTGCCTGCTCTGCGTTTATATATGGTACCTGCGAGGTGCCCATATATGTGGCGTACGTGTAGTAAAGATGTGGCTGCGTGGCTTCGTAGAGGTTTCTTTTTGTTTCTTCTCACCTCCTTTCGCCAGAGTCTGCATCTCCAGCTGGATATAGAAGGCAGATTGCTGTGAACGTAGCATCACCGTTTGGTGTTTCGGTGTTTTCCCTGTGGGATTGGGGAGGGTTCGGCTGTAACCGGCAGTCAGTGGTACTGAGGCTGCCCTGTAGTGACACTAACATTAGCTAGAATCGGCTGTCTTCCCCATGCCTGCACCCACCCGCCCTGCAGTGGTTCCTGATCTCCCCGACACGCCTACCTCTTAGCTCGGTCCATCCCGACCCGACCCGCCTCATCCGCCCTCCGCCGATCCTCTCTCACCTCCTCCCACTCCTATGGTCACTCTCTCTCACCTCCTCCCACTCCTATGGTCACTCTCTCTCACCTCCTCCCACTCCTATGGTCACTCTCTCTCACCTCCTCCCGCTCCACGCCTACAGGTCTCGCTAAATGTCACCACACGCTTGGAGCAGAACCACCTCGCTTTTAATCTTTCCCTGCGATCTAATCCCACTGGCAGCATTGGGGGCCTGGACTGGTTAGGGGGCTGCCGCTCTAGTCACCCCCTACCTGTCCCACACGCAGCTCCACTCCTGGACGGGGGCCTCTTCACTCCAATGCCTGTCGCTCTCCTCAGTCCCTCTCTTTCTCTCACCACACAAGATGGCTTCCTCTTTGTTCTGTCACCCCCGTTTTTATTTTATTATTTTTCTTTTGCTGGCACGTACTTACCCCAAACCAAAGTCCAAGCAGCATTTCCTCAAAATCACGTTAAAGTTACAGTCCTGACAAGTAGAGGTACTGCAAGATACCTTATTTTGGGTCTCCTTCCCCAGTTATTATACTGATGATTATACGCAATCCCATTAAATCACAGTGAATCCCAACTCCCATCAGTGAACCCTGTCCTCGGTGGCAGCGACTGACCAGTGGTTGGGCTGAAGCTGCAGGGCTGATGGTATCTGTGTCCCACAGTATCATGCGTGACCCAGACAGAACTGTCTCGGGTTCACCTGCTTCAGGCTATACCCCGGACCCTGGGTGTTTTCCTCGTACTATGACGGCCAGCAAAAAAAAAATAATAAAAAGCCAGGCTGTGTTGGTGTATGTGCCCACCCCACCCCCTCTCGCCACCATTTGCCATCATTCTGTCTCCGCAGACGCCTCCTCGGCATCGTCACCAAAAAAGACATCCTGCGTCACATGGCCCAGATGGCAAACCTCGACCCCGAGTCGATCATGTTCAACTAGTCCCCGCCCTCCTTGATGGGCTGGAGAATGAGGAGGAGGTGTGCCTGCTGGATGGCTCTGATCTCTGACGCGAGGACCGCCCCCCCCCCCCCCCCCCACCCTGACGCACCCCTAGGAGCCGCCTAGTGGAGAGAATGCGCCACTGCTGGCGACGGCCATGGCTGCCAAAGATGCTGCGCTACTCTAGGCCTCCGGAAATCGACACTCACCCTCTCCTCATCCCGTCCTACCTTCCGGCACCCGACACCCTCCCTCTCACCCCAGCCCTCGGCCAGCCGTGGACCACCAGCCCCCAAGGGTTCATCTTGGGATGCTGCCTGAGTGGGGGGGGGGCTGTCCCTCCACCGCTTTGAACGTGAAACATTTACATTCCAGCCAGGCTGTCAAGGAAAGCGCCAGAAACGCGTCCCCCTCTCCCCCGCCAGGTCACAGTGGCCCTTTTCTCATGTCGAGATCCCATTCCTGAAACGACTCTGCGTGGTTGCGTGCAAACAGGGGCCGTTCCAACTGGGTACACGTGTCTGTTGTAATATAGAGACATAGGGGAGCTTACTCATCACTGTAAAAAGATCTAACATCATCCAGGAGTGAATGTGAATGTGGATCTCACCCAGCAGGGGGAGCTAGTGTGCGTGCCTGCTGGAGATTTGTGTACAGTACCTGTGCATACCTTTGATCTGAGCCAAGTGGCGGACGTGGTGTAGAACCACAGAGGAGAGTGCAGTCCTTCGCTGAGAATGGGCTCCAGGGCTCCACCTGCCTGTCAACCACCAGTGAAGTGTGAAGCTTGTGCAAGCGGAGTCCCTCTGTGCGTTGCGTTCCTGCTACATTGTGTTTATTTTTTAAACGTCTCTTATGGCTGATACTACTTCTAGTCGTGTCAATTATATGTATAAACTAGTAACTTCTTACTGCTTAATTTCAAAACAAAGACTGGAACATTGAAATCGTTACCTTTTTCAGAGATCTCTTCCTTTAGGTTTTCTTGAAGTGTCTTAGTAATTTGAAGCAGGACGATGCTTATGATGATTACTGAAAACACCCTCACAGTGAACTGGATTTTCTTTGACGGTTTTGAGGGACTTCAAGTGATTTCATAGTCACCAACCACTTCAGTAATCAGACAGGGATAACGGTCCTGGATATTAACCCCCCCCTCCCCTCTCCCTCCATTCCATAACCTTCCTGTTTGAGGCATGATGCAGTGAGGAATCCCCCCCTCCAGATCAGCAGACCATGCATCTGTAATTCCTTCATTACCATCCTGTGGCCAGTTGCAGACTTCAGCATATGAACTGGTCCCAGAACTGAATGCCATCCTTGGCTTGCGCTTTTCAATTTCTTTTTCTCATGGCATTTAGTTTCCTTTTATGTCCCTCCCTGCCTGCCGTAGAACACAAATTTCCAGCCCCCTTGGCTCCATTACTGCATTACAGCATTGTATTTTCCCCCATCTTGCTTCCCTTCATTCCACTGTTGTTATAGCGACATGCATAGCACTTTACCTGCTAACAAGAGCTGAAAGAGTGTGTATGTGGGTAAGTGTGTGTGAGGTGCGGGGGGGGGGGGGGGGGTCGGTGTTTGCCGCGTTCTTTGTATAACAGTGACTGTACTGCTGTTGGTTAATGAAGAATGCATTGTCTTCGTTAACGTGGTGTTGCCTAACACTATTTAATACCAATCGATGTTTTTTCCTTTTTTAATTTATATTAGCATTGAGTTGTACATTATGAAGAATTTTGTGTATGATTACGTCGATGGTTTAATTGTACATTTGAAAAAAATGCTGTAAAAATAAATTTTGTTTTAAAATCAATATGTTGATAATTATTGTGTGGATTTTTTTTTAATGCATAGGTGTATGTCTATCCATCCAGTATACACTTATCCAGTATAGGGGTGCAGTTAGTCTGGAGCAGCAAGCAGTATAGGGCACAAGTCCATCTTGGGGCACACACACTCACACAGGATTCAAACCCTGAACCTCAGAGGTGTAAGGTGACAACACTTCCTGCCACGTGACTAATCGTTTCTTTTAATGACCACAATGGGGACCGTCAGTTGGGAAACTAACGCCACAATACGTATCTACGGACAATGACACCTACATAGAGAATGAGAGATGTAGTTGTAGTTTTCGTCACCTCACACCAGGTGGCGCTTTAGACCGTAATTTTAACAAAGGCTGCAAGTGTGGAGGCAGTAATACGGCCGAAATAAACGTTCCGCGCGTTTCTGTCTATTTACACGCTTGTCTGTTAAGTAATTCCTAATTATTATTTACTGATAATAGACGCCATGACATTAAAACGCCGTTTGTTTATTTAGTTAATGTGAATTAAATTCAGTATTCTACTGTCATTTTCATAGTCATACATGGGCTGCATCTCAGTTATTTTTCATGGATTTAAGTTTACATATTTGAATGTAATAAGTATTCACACTTTTGCGTAAATATTTTATTTTCAGTTCAAACTATTGTTTTCAGTTATTTTTTCTAATATCGCAGACAGAGGAATGTGGTAACATTGCTACACCTGTTTAATTTTGTCTTTTGGAAATATTGCGAGCTCATGACAGTTTGTTCTTAAAATACACCATACCTGGAACGGAATCCGGGGGAGGCGAGGGGGGTTGGAATGATAAACTTTAGTTTGGCGGGGCAATAAAAAAACAACTCTTTTTACGTATATGTTCTCATGTTGAGACTAACGTAGAGCTTTTGCAGCAAAGCATATGTACTGGTTATATATATATATATATTTATTATTATTTTCGTTGCCTACAGGACAACATAAGTTAAAATACCGCTGTTAAGGTTACGTCTGTCTATGTAATCTATCTTTTTAACCATGTAGAATGTCCAGTAGGCTACAAAGCAGTCACTTCTTGAATACGGTTATGGCACAATGCCTTATATTCTTGTTGTAATACCTCAGCTTTTTATTATACAGTAATTTTCATTACACTTATTCCACAGCAGAGCACTGTCTTTTCTCAATAACAAATATACTGTCTTTATCTTTATTTTAAATACATCCAATATACTTCTGATGCTTTTAACCAGGATAATTAGGGCCAGTCCAGGTGGCCTCTCTATGACCCGGAAGCAGCTAAATTTCAAGCCCATTTAGGCTGCTGTGTTCAGTATAGTCTCTGGGCGTTCGGTTCGGTTTCCAGCCCGGTTTCGTGAGCTGAGTTTTATTTGTTGGTATTTTTGTGTTCTGTCGGCTTCTCTTCACCTGCTTTGAGTTTCCGTATTCCGGCGTCTCGTATCAGGTTTTATGGGTTTCACGATTTTCATTAGCTGGAGTCTTATTTCCGGTTTTGATATTTTAACTGGCCAGTGTCTCGTTTCCGGTTTGCGGGTTTAATTGAGCAGCCTGTCATTTCCGGTTTGTGGGTTTCATTGAGGAGCCTGTCATTTCCGGTTTGTGGGTTTAATTGAGCAGCCTGTCACTTCCGGTTTGTGGGTTTAATTGAGCAGCCTGTCACTTCCGGTTTGCGGGTTTAATTGAGCAGTGTTTCATTTCTGGTTTGGCTGTTTGAATTAGCTGGAGTCATCTTTTTAAAAAATATATCTCTGTGATTTTTTTTTTCCTGTGCGTGTTTCCTGCTTCCTGATCTCGGTTTCCCATGTTATCTTTACTTAAGTCTGCTTCTCTTACATCTCGCAATGGAATTATCCATCCAGTCAGCAGCCCCTAGAGTGGTCGGTTCCACAGCGTACTACCCTTTGGCACCGCTAGTTGTGTGAAAAGAGCCCATTAAATTTCCCAGTCGGCCTTATACTTCGTCCGTAGATGTGTAAGGCAAACGTCTACAATGTTTTTTAGACTTGAGAAATAAAATGGATGTCCTGGGTTTCATTTTTTATAAAAATAGTATATCCTTAATTAGTTTCCGCATGTCTCCGGAGCTTCGCGTAGTGGAGTAACCTTTGACCATTCCTTGAAATAGCAGCTGTACATTCTTCTGCTATGGCAGGTTCACGCAGCCAGTGCCCTGCAGAGGAACTAAAGGGAATGCTTAGTCTAATTTGTCTGTGCCTATTTTATTGCTACATCAATTTCCTTGTCCAAAGTTCACTTAATATGGAACAACAAGCATTAAAAGAAAGATCTGCTTTCCCCTAAAACAGACATTTTTGACAGGCACACATTTCCGTCCCCTGCCATGTCTTTAGTTACGTGGTTATTAAAAGAGCTACCATCTGTTAAGTAAATTTACAGGCTCTATTGCCCCCTTGTGGTCAAAGACCTGCTGCAAATTAACTGAACAGTGTTTTCCCCTCAGTAAACAAATATTACACTTCTGATACAATAAAACAGAAAACAAAATTAGTCTCATTTGGGCGACAAATGGGAATACTTTTGGTCAGACAAACCTGTGATGATCGGTTGCTATGGAGCCGCACTGTGTTGCAGTATTTGGGTCTGGCTGCTTCGGCCACCTACCCTTAAACCATCTGTTAGTCACCTGAGTGCTCCTGCTTCTAGTGACTCCACAGGGGAGCCATCAACTTTGTAGCTATAAGAACGAAACACAGTGAAGGGATTGACCAGTGCATAGAATCGGGCTCTAGCTGATTATCTTAAAGCCTTTACCCCACATGATCACAAAGCAGGACTGCGTAAGTTCTGTACTCCGGTGTGACAGGGAATGCGGTGCTTCTGGGCAGATGTCTCCTTAAGGACAATCCGTCAGAAAGCCCACTTTGCCATTCCCGTATTATAAGAACTGAAATAGTTCAGCTCCAAGATCAGAGCATGGGAATGAACAGCAAAGTGGGCTAAATGATTTTACTCTGTGATGTCTTTTCATTCCTACGGGCTGACATTTACAGCCAAAGGGCGGTGGGATTCATGAAAGTGCTGGGCGGACGCCTTTCTACAGAGCGACTTTTGTAGTAAAGTGTGCACACGTGAATAGGAAAATATTTTAATTGCTGGGTGTCTCTGTGGCCCTGCACCTCTGTAGCTGTGGGTTTGATTCCTAGTGCCGGCTGTGTACATGTCGATCTTCACATGGGCTTCTTCACAAAATCAAACATGCATTTAGGTGGCTTGATGCCTCTAAATTGCCCTTAGTGGTAGTGTGTGCCCTGATGGACTGGCACCCCATCCAGGGTCTCCCTTGCCTTGTGCCCTGTGCTTCCTGTATTGCAGTGTTTTGCAGTCGGGTCCTTGGGGACCAGCTGTTTTGGAAATATGTCTATGGATGATCGCATATTTTGATATTGAATCAATATATGAATCGATAGCCATCAGGTTATTAACAGCAATATAAAGAGTAGCCAGGGGTGGCATGGTGGTGCAGTGATTAGCACTGTTGCCTCGCACCTCTGGGACCTGGGTTTGAGTGCCCGCCATGGCTCAATGTGCGTGGAGTTGGCATGTCGTCCCCCCCCCCCCCCCCCCATGACCCTGAACAGGACAAGTGGTTACAGAAAATGGATAGGTAATGAGTAGGCCAACCGCACTGCAAATGGGAGAGTAACAGGGTGCAAATTCCATGAGTGATGTCTGAATCTCAGCCCTCTCCGTTCCGAGCGGCTGAAAGGAGCTGCTTTTGGTTGGCCTCCTGGCTCAGAGGGTGACGGCCTGGACCCTCTGCTCTACATCGGCCGCTAATTAGGAACACACAACTGGAAAGCTGGATTCTGCCCGGAATCTCCAAAATAACACGCACATTCTTTAATCTTGATGTATTCCTGTCGTTCTGGCAGACGTTGGATTCCGCCCCCATATTTTACAGTTTTTTGAGGGGGCAAATTTGTTGCACTTCTGCTAACAATTTAGCTATTGAAAGTATTTTTTCCCCTACTTGACTGGGTTTTCAAGTATTCTTGTCCTTCTGTCATTTTTTGGGAGCTGGGCTTGGCGCCATGAGCTTTGCGTTCAAAATACCGATGACTCCTCCCTGGTCCTTTGGCTGGAGATCCAAAAGTCATATTTCTGATTCGCACTGAGGCATGGTGAAGAATAGTTTCCTAGACATGGTGTCCACTGGGATTGTTCCTCAACTACTGTGTCTGAACTCTTTTCTGAGAGACATGGCTTTCGTGGCCAGTGGGAAGACCCATTTTAAGTGAAGGTTTATTATTACTGTTTTAGACCATCATAAACAGAGCACAGTTAGCAATGACATAAAATAGGCTACTTTTAGCACGATCCTGTATGGAGTCATTCTATGTACCACAGAATGCACACAGAGACTGCTGCTGTAGAATGTTAAAACGTATATAGCACAGACATACCAGAGAAAAATTCCAGTGCAACAACACTGGAATACAGTACCTCATGCAGTTATGTTACATAGAAACAATGCACTACTGTGCTCCCTAACAAAGTACGGTGACTAGCATGCTTCGCTAGAACAGCTACACTGCATAGCTAATCCCACAGCACAGGCCCAGTGGAAACTCTGAGAGGTGAAGGTGACCCAGCAGAGTGACGGGACGTCACACTGGGCACATTCTTCTAGAAGGTTACCCCCACTACCATGGCCCGGCCCCCTCTGACCAGTCGCAGAAAACAACTGAGCAGTGAGCTGACATCAAACAGCCCTCCAAACGTGTGCTGCCTACGCGGGGCAGGAAGCTGGAGGTGGAAGGCAGGCTTGGTGATGCAGACACAGAGATTACAGAGCATCTATTCACCACCTTCCTTGTACCTGCTGAGCAAACACTTCCTCTGCATTAAAGGACAGACTCTCCTGCAGTGTAAGGGGTCACATTCTCTCATAATAAAAGGCTGATAATTGTTTATTTCCTTTATTGTTAGAGGATATTCAAAATATGATAGGGCTGCACAG